TTTTTATCCAGCCCCCAAGCCCCCTTCCATCTGGCAACAATCAAAATGTTCTCTGTATCTATGAGTTTGTTTCTGTTTTGTTTGCTTGTTTATTTTGTTTTTTAGATTCCATATGTAAGTGAAATCATAAGTCTGTCTGACTTATTTCACTCAGCACAATACCCTCTAGGTCCATCCATGTTATTGCAGATGGTGTGATTTCACTCTTTTTTATAGCTGAGTAATATTCCATTGTATATATGTACCCCAGCTTTTTTATCCACTAGTCTGTTGATGGGCACTTGGGTTGCTTCCACATGTTGGCTATTGTAAATAATGCTGCAATGAACGTAGGAGTGCATATATCTTTCCAAATTAGTGCTTTGGATTTCCTCAGATAAATACCCAGAAGTAGGATTGCGGTCATATGGTAGTTCTATTTTTAATTTTTTGAGGAACCTCCTTACTATTTTCCATAGTGGCTGCACCAATTTGCAATTCTACCAACAGCACACAAGAGTTTCCTTTTCTCCACATCCTCACCAGCACTTGTTGTTTGTTGATTTATTGATGATAGACATTCTGACAGGTGTGAGGTGACATCTCAGTGTGGTTTTAATTTGTGTCTCTCTGATAATTAGTGATGTTGAGCATCTTTTCATATCTCTTGGCCATCTGTATGTCCTCTTTGGAGAAACGTCTGTTCAGGTCCTCTGCCCATTTTAGGATTGGCTGTTGAATAGTCTTCTAAGATATTATTCCTGACTTATCACTGCACACTCTCTTAATGCCTCTTTGCTCACTCTACTTGAGTAGTTTCATTAATCATAACACCCATGGCACCATTTCATAAGTGGGAGTAGTAAGTTATAGGTAGCCTAACAAATTCATTCAGTATCTACATTGTTTCTTCCATGAAATTCAACATGTTGACTGATTATGAAAATAATCTTCTTCAACTGTTTCAGTCTTCAAATGTAATACTTGTGAGTTTAATCAGAAAGCCAGAAAACAAAATAGTATCAATTAGTAACACTTCCTATTCTCTGCTCAGGCTTCTTATCTGAAGCTGGTAACATTATTTAATCTTTTCCATCCTCTCTGGGTAAAAAGGGCCTGGAAAATCCTAGTCACTCCACAGTAACTGTTAGTAGTATTTTCCATAACTATCTGAATGCAAAATAAAAATCTTAAGAAATTGATCCAATTCTAAAATTTGCTTCTTAACTTACTAATAAATATGAAGAGACAACCTATCCATATTTTCTTCAAATAACATCTGTTGTTGTTTTTTCTGGCCAGACTGCTAATACCTAAAAAAGTTCCTGAGTTTGTTCCAACCAATCTACATTTAAAGAGCTTTAAAATGTATTTATGTAGTAAACATTCTTTTCTACATCTGACTTACAAACAGAAATTGGACCATAAGACAGAACCCTGCAAAGAAATTAGAAAGAGGGGGAATAAAATCATCTTCTAAAGTTAAACTGTGAAACCAACACTTGATGGGTCAGGGCAGGGAAATAAGAAATCACCACATGGGACAAAAAAGCTTTTAGGCCAGCAAGATTTGGCTGTGACCCTATTAAAGATATAACACACACACCAAAAGCCAATATCAGTCAATCATGGAGTTATAGAAAAAGAAGGGTTGCTAAGACAGACCTGAGTAGGACCTACCAGGGCTCTGTGCAGAGTGGAGGGAATCTGGACAAGCAGTGAAGCCGTGACAAAGCATCTCCACGGTGAAAATGAATGCATCACTTTATCTTAGCCTGATTACTCTGGGCTGGCTTGTGTTATTCATGATGGAAAGCTCAATATTGAGCTTAGAGCGTAACCTAGAGTAGTCAATCATTAGATTCACTGAATTTGTTCCAACTCTTTGCTCACAATCTCCTGATTATAATTTGGCTCCCACATAGTTCTGCCTACAGGCGAAGAATTACTTGGTCTTATAGATTTGAGAATTCTGGCCCACATGCTGGCTACAGCACTCATTGAAATATACAGTTTAGCATTTGAGCTTGCTTACTCTGACTCAGCTCTGAGGGCCCTGAAGGATCAGGTTTCTGAGCCCAGAAGGCTGGCAGAGAATCTCTGGGCCATGCTAAATTCACCAGGGTGGTGATGACAATGGTGGTGACAGGGACAACCATGGCCATGTGCTGAGCAACCTCTGCCTCAGACACTGCACTATGTGCTTTACACATTTGAACTCATTTAATCCCCACAGGAATCCAATAAATTAGGCATTATTAGTATTCCCATTTTGTAAATGAACAACCTAAGAAAGCTTTAGTAAGTTACTCAGAAACCTACATAAGAAATCTGAATTCAGACCCAGATTTGTCTGACTCTAAAGTTTAATCTCTTAAAATTTGAAAATACTACCTCTGGAGGATAAACCCTATGCTTCTCCTGGCCACACTCCTCTCTGCTTCTGCAGCGTGCGTTGAGCATTCAGCCCACCTTCAACATGACTATTCATCAATACACCACTGCTATGCCAGACTTCACATCAATGCACATAAAGAGAACAATCAGCCCTTAACCAGAAGTGCAGAAAAACAAACCCTGTCTCAATGAACAGCATCACTGTCACCATCTATTCCGTGCCATCATGTGGTTAGCTTCAGAAGTCAAATGATGCTTCCCTCTCCATCACCACTAGCCACATACTGTCTAGTCATTTGCATGCCCTTCAATAAACCTCTTCAACACTTCTGTAGTGTGTCTACTTCTCACTATCACCATTGCCACTACCTGTCTTTCACCTAGACCTCTAAAAACTCTCCTAGAGCATGTTCTTGCTTCTACTCTTGCTCTTCTTCATTCTCAACTGTGTGCCTAGTGATCTCAGTATTATCTAATCATGGCATTCCACTGTTTAAAAATCCTTCAGTGGACCCCCAACCTCTTATCATACTCTGTGCTTCCGTCCTAACAGTGATTAGCCTGCAGTTTTTGGAATATACTCAGTCATGTCTGCTCTAGGATGGCACACAAGCCGGACCTGGAATACACTTGCATCTCCCTGACCATTCTTCCCTCCATACCTCCTATGGTCAGCTTATACAGGGGCTTTGGAACTCACTCATGTTTCATCTTCTCCAGGAAGCCTGGGTTAGGTGCCCATCTGGAGCGCTCTCATCACATGCAGCTCATCCCTTATTTCCCTGTATGGGAATTTTTTATTTATGTGACTCTGTCTCCAGACTAAAACCTCCCTGAAGCCTGTTTACACACAGTGCCACCCCCACACATACACACACAAATGCATGTAGAATGAATAAATGAACAAACGAATAAAAGGCTGGTATAATACAGGTGTAAAAATCTACCCCGCTTCCTCAAGTTCCAGTTGCATGATCTTATGGAAGGTGTTTCATCTCCCTAGACTTCAGATTCTCTGTCTGTAAAATAAGTATCATAAATCCTACATTGTGAAGTTCTTGTGAGATTTAGCCAAATTGTACAATATACGGAAAGTCCACAGCACCATGCATGGTATATAACAAGTGTTCAAATGTTGGTTGTTACTATTATTATTGCTATGTCCTTGGAGGCCTAACCAAAAACATTCAGGTTCTTGAAAGGCCTCACAGAAAGTCTGGGGGTGGAGTCACATAAATAAAAAATTTCCATACAGGAAGATAAGGGATGAGCTGCATGTGATGAGAGCGCTCCAGATGGGCACCTAACCCAGGTTTCCTGGAGAAGGTGAAACATAAGTGAGTTCCAAAGCCCCTAATGGCCTCTAGAAATATTCCCAGACCCCACAATGACTCAGCCACTCCAGGCCTCCTCAGCACGTTTTACATTTTATAATGCATTATCTTGCACTCTTGAATTTATTGCTTTGAAAAGATCCCTTACTTTCTTCAAGATGCCTAATACTCAACAAAAGTTTTTAGGTGAAATGATACTAAGATTTGTTGCAGATCTTACTCCCCACTGGAGCCTTACTCCATGGACATTCACATGGCACCTCCTGATGATGCAAATGCCACGCAGAAAAACTAACATAACCCTGAGGGAAACACAGGGAGAAATGGGAAGACTGTGGACTTGACAGGTGGTGATCCCAAAATAGAAACCAAGGTTTAAAGGGGTCAGAAGTAAGATGAGGTCTCAGATGTCACAACAGATGTGGAAAGGTGAATTATAGACCAGTGGTTAAAAAAAAAATTATACCTTAACCCTTCGGTGGAATTGTGCAGCCATCAAAAGTAGATAGGGGCCCAACTAATAAAATGGCGAATTAGAACAAGTAATATGTCATATTAAAAACATACAGATAATATATGTTTTTGATCACCGGATGTAAAATTTGCTTTAAAAAAACTTTAAGGGAGTAGACCAAAATTTTAATAGTTGTAACAGAGTGGTGAACTTCTGGGCAATGTTTTCTTTGGTAGATTCCCCACACTATCTGTAGTGTCATATTCTTTAAAATGTAAAGACTCTCCCTGGCCAGGCGGCTCAGTTGGTTGGAACATCCACCAAAAAGGTTGCGGTTGGATTGCAAGCCAGGTTACATACCCAGGCTGTGGGTGCAATCCCAGATCAGGGTGCATAGGGAGGCAACCGATCCATGTTTCTCTCTCTCAAAATTATTATAATAAATCAACAAAAACTTATCCTCGGTGAGGATTACTTAAAAAAAAAGTGAAGACTAATTCTCTAGAAATATATGTTCTGAGTGCCTCCTCGCAGATTGCTCCAGGAAGAAATTAGGCAGTGCAGAAGACGCCCTCGGCCGAAGGCGGCTCCTGAGCCTCAGCCTGGGCAAGGCGCCGGGCGGTTCCATCCAGCTCTGCCCGGCACCTTTTCACCCGCCACCGCCCCGCTGGGTCTCATTTGGTGCCCTTGGGCAGGCCGCCCTAGATGGGCTCAGCCCCTCCACCCACACCCTACCGACCACAGCGATCCTCCGCGCGAAGTTTCTGTTCGGTGGAGAGGAGGCGCCGCAAGCCCCCCCGGCGGCCCGGAAGCCCGACCCCCGGCCGCCCGCGTACCTCCTGCACGGGACCAGCGCCTTCCTCTCGTCCAGCACCCGCACGCGCCGGTTGAGCCCGTCGTAGGAGAGCAGGGCGCGGCTGTTGCGCCCGCTGCTCTGCCGGTACAGCACCTGGCGCCCCTCCCACTGCTGCGGCGCCTGACAAGGGCGTGGGGTTCCCGGGGGCCCCCAGGTGTCTGCTAGCAGCACTCCCGCCCCTAGGGCGCAGAGGCCGCCCAGCACCCAGAGCCGCAGGCCGCCCAGCAGCCC